CGCCCAGCGAAGCGAATTCGCCAATAAGCGTTTTGAGTGTGGCACTTTCTTCACCACGAAAGGTTGAGTGTTGGTGAAAGGGATTGAAAGCCATAATGAGGTTTTGTTTCAACTCGATAATCACCATTATGCGTTGGTTTGATAGTTGTTAGTCTGATAGAACTTAACGGACTGGTTTTAATGATTCTGTTAACAGTCCCGTCGGGTATAAAATTAGAGTTCCCCAGGAAACTGTATTAGGGCCCCTTTTATGTATTATGTAAGGTAATGTAAAATATGCGAATCAGCTCACGGCTGGAAGTCTCATTAATAGAGCTAAGGTACACCGGGGCATGTGAGTATACGAGATAAGTAAGAACGGTGGATATACATTATTTTAACAAAACGTTCCAGAGCCAAACCCACCTGAAAATTAACCCATAAACTACCGGTACAGATTTTGATTTATTCTAATAGCTCGTTCCCAACGACTGTGCAATTAATTGGCAATCTGCTTGATGAATAATCAAGGGAAAACAATAGGCTTAACGTTAGCATAGGCATAGCCAGAGGGGGGAACTGCCCCCTCTAAACTCAGCAACACAAAGGCTTTCGGTGAAATGGCGTTTGGTGAAATGACATTCGGCCAAATTTTCCATAGTAATTTTTTTTTCGCCCCTCCCTAGCTCGAAACCTGGCTACGCCCTTGAACGTTAGTATAACGTTTGTGGAGAGTGGATATAAGTGTGGCATTTGTAATTTTTCTTGCTAACTGCAGCTATATTGTCAATAATTGTACCATAAATTATTTAACTTTGACGACATCCGGTCAAAACCTAATCATTCATGGCCATGACATCATATTGCACCACATTGGCCATGTGGTGGCCCCGGAACTGGTTCCGGAAACCCTGAAGGAAGTGTTCAATTTTCACGACAGCAAAAACCTATCGTGTGACATGAACAACAGAACAATCCAGAAGTTATCATAAAATCTTTTCTGGATCGCATTAGACATACAGGGTGCGTGACGAATTTTTGCAGTAAATGGCATATTTGAGAAAAAATACACCAGTTAGTTATTCTAGCAATGAATTTTGTGCGATTTATTTTCTTTCGCAACATATGGAAGTTGTAAGTAAATTTATTCAAAAAAATTGCCTTCCCTTTCGACGACTGTAGTTAGCCGCTTCCGGAAACTGCAGTATGCACGTTTTAAAATGTTTCGATCCATAGATGTCATCACTGCCTTGATTTTAGCTTTTAGCGACTTAAGTGTGGTATGAGGGGTTCTATTGGTATCCCGTTGGACGACGCCTTATACAAAATAATCCAACGGATTGATATCGGGACTGCTTGGGGGCCAAATTTCTTCCTCCCAAATTTACGAAATATTTTCCGTAAGTCATTTCTGTGCTTTATTAGCAGTATGAGCAGGTGCTCGGTCTTATCACTTTACCAAGCCATTTTTAATATTATACACTGTTCTTTCAGACACATTTACCGACCGAATTATTTCTTTCATGCATACGCCGGCGCGCAACAAAGCGACAACGGCTGACAGATTGCTCTCTTGTTTCGACATCTTTATGTTTACTCAACATTGTTTGTTTAAATCTTACACCTAACAGTATAAGCTATCCAGTGCTGCCAAATATATCTAAATCATGATGCACAAGCATGAGAAATTACTATTGGAAATTTACTGCAAAAATTCGTCACGCACCCTGTATGGTGGCTTCGGAAGAGCTTCCTGAAGCTCTGGGGGAAGTGGTCAACAAGTGGGAACTTCTTCGATGTGCCTGAAGTATTACAAAATTCCCTGAAGTTAAATAATAGTCCCTAATCTTCAACGAAGTTCTTTGAATTTTAATGCACAACTCACTAAAGTCCTCTAATGCACACCACAGTATGATGAAGCCTTATAACGAACAGTTCTCAGCAGGGTTGCTTCCACTCACTTGCTATAACAACACGTTTTTCGGAATTATGCAATCATTAGATGGTATAAAGATATGCTGTACTTGTAAGTAACAAGAAGAGGGTTTAAAGTATGTGTTTGACTCATAAAACCATTTTGCTTTCAGAGCGTCACAATAAGCGATCTTATGATTCGTGAACGTACACTCAGAGTGAGCACTCACGAGTCGTAAAATTGCTGATTGTGACGCACTAAAAGCAATATTGACAGATTTTATGTGTCAAACACATACTTCACGTCCTCATCTTGTAACTTACAAGTACTAATTATCACTATACCATCTCATGATTTCATAATTCTGAAAAACATTTTATTATAGCAAGTGAGTAGAAGTAACCCCGGTTCTCAGCACTCCTATGGGAAGCTTCATTTTTGCCGCACCATCGGCTTGGCCTTGATTTCTTCTTCCTCTTCTTGGTCTACTTCATCACTGCTGGTGTGGTATTCGAGATAGGTACACTCGTGCCGAGATGGGAAATGACAGGTGGGCAGGAACTCACAGTCTCCCAGTGTTGGTGAGTTCTTTGCCGTTAATGTTCACGAAAAGTTCACTATTTTGCTATACAGAAATTCACAACAAAAATTTTTATCTGCGGATTTGGACAGTTTTTGACCTGTTTCATACTACCGGAAGGTGTATGCTGGTCACAAATGCCGTGCCAAACTGATTTCCTACTCAATTAATCAATCTTTGATGTGAAATTCGCTAATAAACACGAGGAGCATTTCTTATAGCAAACATGCCATAACAAAATGGGCATGGTTCATTTAAGTAAACAAACTAACACTTCTTCCGACTGTGGCACCTCTCTTACTCGCCTGGCACTCGTGCTACCCTCACCACTGTTCTTCTTCTTGGCTTTCTCTCGGAGCCTGCGAATAAACGCGCAGTAAAACGGTAAAACCGTAAAACCATAGAGGTAACTCTAAGACCACTGGGTCCCGAAGAAAATCATTATTATTTTTGGCTCACTCAGTACCAGAACAACGGTCCCAAGCAGTCCCAAGCTATTTTACTCACCCCTGCATGTTCTGCATGAATCCACACACCCCTGATGTTATATGTCAAACTTTCATAGCGAATCAAAACAAACATAGTGTAGTAATAGAATTTCAACTAGAATAGGGTACGTTAATCGTTTGCTTGGGACCAATAGGCTACTAAAGTGGTGAGCCAATTTAAAATCGTTAGTTTCGTATTGATTGTTGGTAAAACTGCGAACGTTTGGGACAAACAAGAAACTTATCGAGCAACTCGACAGTGCGAGCAAAAACCGAACTGAACTGCTTGACGGTCAAGCAGAGAATCCCATATCGAATTTATATTCTCAGCACTATTTTATACAACATTAGGAGTGACTGTGCTTATGCTTTTTTTTGAGGGTATCCCTAATGAAAAATTACCACAAACGAACGATAACTCAAATAATAGAACTATTCCACAAATGTTTTGAATGATACCCCGAACACGTCGTTAAGCATAATAACTATAACAATTTTATTAGGGATGTTCATTACATTTAGGCTTGGGGTGAAAGGAAATCAGTTTTCGATGTACACAAATTACATCCGTTTACTTCTTTGAAGATAGAAAAGATCAAACGGAAAGATCGATTTTCCAATTTTTTAAATACACAAAGAATCGATCCTAAAAACCGAACAGCGACATCAAAAAGATCAATCTTCTAAAGAACGATCCAAGATCACCCAATCCTACATAGCATGTAAGTAAAACATTGTAACCATTGTATGTAGTCTACTTTTGCTTGACGAAATAACAAGCAACAAAATATTTCTAGATACACATTTCAAGACGTCCTATTTGCATTGATCGATTCTCTGCATAGAATTTCTCTTTCATTAATAACTCAGCTGCAAAACCTTTCCCTATTGTATTTGACAAATTGAACGCAAGATAAGAACCTCCTTTATCAAACTATGTTGCTAAATTCAGGGGCGGGATGTGCAGTCAAATCGGCCTACTGAAAATCCATCAATGAGATGTAAATGTGTAAAGGCCCAAACGCAATGTGGACGGAAGCGGAACGGAAACGGAAAGTTTGACAGTTGTCACAAATGACATCAAGAAGCCTAACCGATGTCGATTTGGTTTTAACTAGTTTTCAATCCGAAAAGTAGACTTACTCATAGCGAATTCGTTTATTATTCAGTTCCAACCTGGATCGGGTATCAAGATTTGGTCTGCTTGTTTTCTGACAAACGTCAGTTTGATCGTTTGTTTTTAAAACCCAGCTCAGGGTGAGGTTCGCACTGACAAAAAGTTCGGCCGCTGCCGTTCCGCTTCCGCTGTCATTGCGCTTGGGCCTTAAGGCTCATTGAGTTTGTCATCTCTTTCGTTCTCCCGCTGTTCAAACGGTTGAAGGAGTGTGACGTCAAAGTTCGTCATCCATTTTATCAGCCGGAGAACTTACTGGGCCTCACCTGTTTACGCTCATTGATTTTCCCTATGTGAATTCGGTTCCAAACATAAACAAACCATCGTTGCTTATGGCTTTGTTGTCGTTTGGAACCAGTTATACCATAGAGGTAACTCTAAGACTAGTAGGTCCCGAAGAAACGTGCTCAACTTTTTGGCTCAGCTCTGGTACTATCTTCGGTCCCAAGCTAATCGATGCACCCCTCGAAACATGCGAAAATCCACGAGCCCCTCATTTTATCTCTCAAAATTTCATAGATAATCAAAACAAACATAATGTAGTACTAGAATTCCGACTAGAATGGGATACGTTAATCGTTTGCTTGGGACCAATAGGCTAGTCATGTAGTGAGCCAATTTCAAATCGATAGTTTCGTATTGATTGTTGGTTATACGCTTGTATGAAACTGGTTCCAAACGTAAACAAACCCTGTAGGTTTCTTATGGCTTGTTTACGTTTGGAACCAGTTATGCGAAGTAGGCGACAATTTGTTCGTATTTGGCAGCTACCTCCCCCCCCCCCTTGGTTATACGAGGTAGGCAACGATTGTTCGTATTTGACAGTCACGCACACCCACCGACCCCCCCCCCCGGGTTAAATTAGCTCGAAATTAGTTTGCATAGCAGTGGTTATCAAAGAAGAAAGTCGATGAAGAAAATCGATCAAAGCAGATAGGACCATTTGAAATGTTCATGAAGAGCAACTGTACAGCAAAATGAAATTAAAATTTGTTATCAAATTTGTCAATTGCGCAAACTGAAATCAAATTATGATTCCAGTTTGATGTTGACATGAAAATTTGATATCATTTGCTGTCATTTAGAAGCTGAACTTTCCTTCGGTTGTTAACCGAATGATAAGCTTATGTTAGCACGCAGGTTGCCAGTGGAATATCTTATGTAGGTCCACTATTTGTTGAGATGTGATTGAAAACGTAATTGAAGGCTGCTTATTGGACCCAGATAATTTGTTTAGACATTACTTTTAAAAAACATTTGAAAACATTTAGGCATCCATGCCCAAAAAGGTTATATTTCATCTTCCGACAACCGTAACAAGTTCTATTTTCTATTCTATCGTAAACTGTGATTTCGACTTGAAACATGTTTGATAACAAGTCTCCCGCAACCTATTTTTTTTTTATTCATGTTCCACATCATTTCAATAACCGTACACTATCACGGTTTCATATTCGCTACTATCCAGTCCATATAATCAGCAAGTTTAGTATAAACCGCAGGCACGACGCCACACCCGAACCCGAAAGATACAATTCCAAACTGTACAAATCGCATTCCATTGTACCAAGCACTGTATCCGAGGGGTCCTCCACCATCACCACGGCACGCATCCGGTCCATCCGGCTTGCCCACGCAAAGCTGATTTTGCGAGAGTTTCAAACCCTTTAGATTCATCCACTCCTGGCACTCGGACTGATTAGCTGGTTTGACGGTAGCTTTGAGCAGTGTCATCGATTTTGATTCGTCCTCTCTGTCACCCCAACCGGTAATGATGTACCGGTAGGGCTGCATTGTTTTTAGTTGCAACAAAACCGGTAGGCAAATTGGACTGATGTGGTCTAGAATTGGAAGATCAATACTATAAAGGAAATTATTGATTAAATCGATGAGGGGTCACCTTCAAATGTGACATCCCTGTCCAGTCGTAGCAGAGCAATGTTGTTCTGCTTGGTTCGACGGTTGTAGTTCTGATGCCGTATGATGCATTCGATGCCGTAATCCCGCACGGGCGGGGCACAGTCCCGTTTATCATTTGGATCGCAGTCCCTCTCTTGACCGATGATGTACTCTCCCAGTCTTACTTGATATCTAAGATTAAATAGACAAAGTTTAATTCGATGAAGAATTCCAAGGCGCTACGATTCAAATTACGGTCGCTTGCTCTCTTTCACACAGTGCGCGGCCGTTAGCACATATCGCTTACTTATCAATGTTCCCGCACACAGATTGTCTAACTCATGTATGGGAGCTATCAAGTAGCGTACGATCGCCATCCATGGGAATTCAGATAGATTTGCTTTCTGACCTCGCACTATACGGTTAACGACGTAGGAGCCACACTCTTCTGGAAGATAATTGGTATACCACTTGGTTATATCAAATTCCTTAGCCTCACAACTTTTGGCGGGGGTACCAGTAGCTAAAACGAAGCAACATATTTCATCAAGTCACTAATTATTGTTTTAAGACTTTGTTAATCACATACGTGCTGTAAATTTGAATTCATCGGACTCATCTTTCAGTTGCAATCTTGTGGTCATCTCTATCCACGGGAGGAACGTATGTACCTTTGTGAAAGTGGCATAGCCGTTGATCTGGCAAGTATCGTTGTTGATGATTGTGTTCTTTGGCTTGGATAGAACTCCTACTAAAGTCCATGCTTTTCCCCGTTTGATAAATATTCCTCCGCCAATATCTCCATTACACACGTTCGTTCCGTCAGAATATCCTGCGCAAAATGTTTCTTCGTTCGGCTCTGGACACAGCAAACCGCTATGCATCGGCAGTTGTACATCTCTGAGATCACTGGACACACTTACATCAGCCAACCCCCAACCGACTACCGTTCCGTAACCGTTCTCCGATTCACCTGTTTGATCTACGCAAACTGGATGCACATAATCACTAAACCGGACCACCATACTCAACATCAATATAGCAATATCATGCTTCGGATGTCCGAAAGTGAAATTCGGATGAATGTGTATTTCGCCGACTGAGTATTGCTGCGAAGTCAGTTGAAAAGGAGCGTCCAGACTGTGAACGCCCAATCGAACCACCATTAAAGTATTCGCCATTATTTCTCCACTATCGAGATTGAAAACACAGTGTCCTGAGGTTAGTATGAAGCGTTCGTCGATCATCGTTCCCCCGCATACGTAAATGATGCTGTCGTGGCTGATATGATAGATGGCTGTATGCCAAGGAAACTCGCCTAGAATAGTGTCGGTTTCCTTTTCGGCTAGTTCTTCTGAACCTATCGGCTGTATCCCACACTGAAGCGGTATATATTCGGTTGCCAGGACAAAGTTAAGCAGGATACTTCCTGACAGAACCAGAAACACGTTCATCGTATTGATCATCTCTCCGGAATAGACACCTCTATGCACATTGAGCCGAGATTTCCGAAAAAATATTCATCGTAGGTTCAGTAGATTGTAGACTGTTCAACTTGTGAGCAAAAATATCACTGGGGGATTTCCTCTAGCAGATAGAGTTTCTTATCTTTAGTGACGACTGACTGAACCTTATTTCTTGATCGTTTGTGATACATATATACGAGCAAGCGGATTCTCTCGCGTCTCGTTCTGGTTCTTCATCTTATTCTACATATTTGAAGCTGATGCTTTTGATTTCAGGTTTCGAGCTATTTTTTTATTTAAATAATGTTTATTGAGGACCGTCTCGCCCCTTGTGACGTCAATTGTTGCGAATGGATAACTCTGATATGTATTTCATATTAAGCCTTTTGGAGGCACTGGAATTTTGTTGTCCTTACTAATTAATATAATTTTTCAGCGTTGGCTCAAATATTATTTATTGGTTTATGGTATAGGTAGCTGCCTCCTGTCAAATCTCATTCATGGGTTGAACAATTAGCTGATCAGAAATGTCTCGGAAAACGCTCCATACACTGTTTGGCGTCGTATCACAGTGACGGTTTTATTGGATTTGTTTTGTATCATCTCATAGCGCTAATACCAATATAGTTGAGAAAGAGAGAATCGCAAATATAAATCTCAATAATTAAAGCTTGAGTCATTTAATATCTGAACGCACTGTTTATTTTACTGCAGTGCTCCTAGCGGTGGGATTTGGAGTGTTTTGACAGCAGTTTGTTTTGAAATGTTTTCTCTTTCATTGTGTTTAAAAGAAGTTATACTTGATGGAAGCCGCAAACCGAAAATTAATTTTCGACACCCAATTGGAAAATCCGACGTGGTCAGGTTCAAAAATCGCCAAGTCGTTGAAATTGGCTAAATCGACCGTGTGCATTATTCTCAAACGTGGCATACTGTTTATCGTAAGTGGCATACTATCGATCGGCAAGATCATAGCAAGCGTCGCAGTGGAACTAAGGAACGGAAGCTGGATTTTAAGGTGTTGAGGACGGTTAGGGTAAACCAGCAAGTGCAATCCAAGAACCAAAAGCGATGTGATGCTAGTTTGCATTGCAATGACGACGACTGAATTAAGGGGCTCAGAAGCAGAGGGATGAAAGTAAATTCTCTTCATCGATTTCCTATTTTGATGACCATGGCTTCACTAACCTATTGGGGGCGTGTGGTTCTGAATATGGCGATTCGTGTGCAAAATGTTACGTAATTTTGCATCCTCCCTATTCGCACGCGCCCGAAGATCGGAGGCGAATGTCACTTCGACATGTTTCGTCTACTTACTACCATAGAGATAACTCTAAGACTAGTAGGTCCCGAAGAAACGTGCTCAACTTTTTGGCTCAGCTCTGCTACTACACAGTTCGAAAAAGTAGCGTACATTTACATTAAATATCATGCACATAAAAGGAGCGTGATAAATAATGTAGCATTACATTGCATTCTATTTTTACATTAGCATCTGGTTTAATGTATATTAAAATTAAGATATGGAAATGTAGGTTTACATTTGCATGTAATTTTAAAACCTAGATGTAATTATACGCTTTAATAAACGGAATTTTCCATTTTTCCCATATTACCTGTCGGATATTCATAATAAACTAATTTTTATTGCATTTTATGGAATTTTTATTTTTATTGATTTCGAAACTTAAAAAAATACATTGATGTCCATTTTCACTCTGACATTTGCAATTTTTGTCGGAGCGATGTCACATTAAACTTTCTTCGTAGGAGGAACGCAGTTAGAGGAACCAGGAACCACTTCATATGAAGAAAGCTCAACAATAACTTTTTTAACTACGCGTTGGATTTGGCCAACTTTAGTCGCGGTAGATTTTGATCCCTTACAAGGAATGATCTTTAAGAAGTACTGCTGGATCAATTCGAGGAACTTTGATGCCTCTTTTAGGTACATAAAGTTGTGGACGTAGTGGACACACATCAAATCCTGAACAGCACAAATGAAATTATTTGTTCCTTCCGATACCCGTGTGTGCTCAGCGTAAATGTAGTACATATGATTCGTATTTCCCATATCTGAAAAAATGATAAGAAAATAAATTATTAGAAAAAAGTCTTGTTATCAAAATTAATTATTGTTTTCTCCTCAAATCTCAGTTTAGCTTTTGCTATCTCGGAAATATTTTCCCGAGATTTACACAGTCGAGTGCTACTGAGATATCAGCAAACATTACGTTTTATGCTGAGATTCAGTAAAACATTTTCCGAAACTCATCAACCAAACGTAAATTTTGCTGAGATCTCAGTTACATCACGGTGTCTCTGAAATAAAGCCTTATCATAAACACATCAGTATCATTGAAACACCCATCAAACGAAAGTTTAGGATTGCCCATTTCGATGTTCTATCAAGCCTGGAACAATTTTAATTTGTTCGTACTTTTTAGTGTAAATCACGTAATAAAATATTTGTAAGCCCATTTCATAAAAAAAATGCAAAATAATGTCCCCCGATAGAACATTTTTAAACTAGCATCAAATAAAAGAGGGGCACATAAGATTTCGTTTGGTGGGTGTTTAAGCTCTACTGATTTTATTGTTAACTAATGCCTAAAAATGTTCTGTTTTTCATTCAAACAATTTGGTCAAACTATAAATCGTTCATTCAACAACCGTTTTTGGTGGATTAACTTTTCTGCTCATAATCGAATATCAGTACTATCTTTGCTTGATTTTCTATTCACTGATATGCGATTATGGGTAGGTATTGTTGAATCATCTATATTTAATGTTAAAATACTCGCAATTTGAGTCAAAAATGTTTTAGTCGAATTTAAAATCCATTTCTTTGGTTAAAGTTTTACTTAATTTACATAATTTGTGTATTTGTAAAGTGTCGTAAGGTGGAGCATGACATCGACTCCCCCCCGTGGGACTCTATATCAAGCACAGGGTTTTTCTAAAGAAAATTTATCAAAAATCGATCCAAAAGTTGCTTTATATATGAAGCATCATACTGCAAAAAATTAGCCTTGTAGGTTATTGTTTATCCAATATGCATGGAATAGGGCTTCTGGCATAACTATATTTATTTTTATGTTATTTTAAATGTGTGAAAAACTGACCGCGTGTAAAAAAATTGCTTCCCGCCTTAAATGAAAAAGCACCTAAGAATTCGTGTGGTGGGTATACTGATTTTTCATAGTTTTAAATTCAAAGGAGGCTGACCGGTAGCTTCTATGCTGACAAAACGTTAATTTTTTTTGTTCATTAAAACATAATCATCGGCCCAAAATTATAAACATAGAAACAACAGCCTTAACTCACTTAAATATAAAATTATGCTTAAGCATTGCTACTTATAAAAACGATTGACTTACCAATAGCGATTATAACAGGACCAGCTGACTTCTCGTTAATGTCGTCGATTCGAGTTCCGACCTAAAATTTCAAATTGTTTTTAGTTATTATTACTATACTTGCATAAAAGTAATCGATAAATATATACCTCTTTCTTCAAAACAAGATCATCCAAATTTTCGCCAACCATCGATGCCAAAAATTTGAATATATCTACGTCCGAGCATGTGTCAGATAGCTTCACGGGTTTTTGAAGCACTGCCGAATACTCTACTACTTTATTCCGCTTCAAAGAGAAGTACTTCTGGAGCGTATCGATATCTACTCCGGTAGCTTTCTTGAAATGATAAAACAGCAACTTCCTCCTGCGCAGGACAGGCATTTCTAGCAGCATTGGCTTAAGGTCTTGATTTCCATCGAGACGATGTCTTACGAATGCTTGGGATGATTCCAGCAACTCAGTTGTTAGCAGACTTGGTTCATCACGTCGCAATTTGGATAGAATCTCCTTGGTACATTCGATAGATGTTTTTGACCAATACTCCTTTGACGTTCCTGCTCTGATGTTTCTAGTTTTTTTGTTGGGTGTTGCAGGTAGTACGCTTGCGTCTTTGAATCGATTAAGGTAGGAGTTTCTGTTTATCAACTTGTGTTTTATTACAACATAACTCAACCCATCTGTGAATCCGTCATCATCATATATTTCCAAACATGGAAACTTCTGCAAAATATTCTTAGCAACTGTTTCCATAGTATCGGCGCGAATGAATGTGTCGATCGTCCTTAGTTGATCAACGATGCAATTGATTAGTCCACTCATTTCCAATTTCTTTAGTCGCAGCTCTCTCGGGATCTGATCAGAAGCGTTTTTCAGTTTGAACTCCTGGAGACCTTCCAGTCGTGATAGTGTGTTGTCACTTAATTTTTTCCATTTGATTTCGAATGATCGAAACTTCATGTCGTTGGATGCTTGTTTTTTGGCAATTTGCAACCCAGTGCGATCTTCGTGGATTCGTTTCATGGTAGTATTGGGAGATTGGTTTTCATCGTTCGAATGGTCAGTTGGCTCAATCTTGGAAAATGTCGGCAGTAGTTCTGCTGAATTCTCATCGATTTCATCTTCAAGCTCGTCTTGCATTTCTGTTGTTAGCTGCACGGCATCGGAATCTTGTTCTGATGTGGAAGTTTGCGAGTTTGCAATGATGCTCAACACATTTGGAGTTAGCTGCATTTGGTGAAGGAATGTGGAAAATGATGGATCTACATCAACAATATTTCTATGAGAATCGTGATCGGCAGTAATCGTCTGAGCCGAAACATGATGAGTGCCTAAAAATTGAAAAGAAGAGCAAAAATTAGTAACAAATAACATTACTGAATTATTTGCCACTGGAAAAGTATATTTATAATCAAGTCATAATCTGTCAATGTTTTTAGGACCTTATCTAATGTTTAGCTTTAATAAAGCAACGCTCGATGAACATTTCAAAAGGTCCTATCTGCTTTGATCGATTATTTTCATCGACACTCTCTTTTTTGATTAGCACTGCTATGCATACATATTTCGTGCTATTTGTACTGCACAGTTTGATAAAATAGGTTCTTATCTAGCGCCCAGAACGTCAAATACGACAAGGAAAGGTTTTGCAGCTGAATAATTAACGAAAGAGAAAGTTGATGAAGAGAATGAAATGTTTATCCAGGATGAACTTCAATAGACTTCTCTGACGTTTGTGAAATGCACAAGTATTAGTGCAGAACTTGGGGTAAATTATAAGCATTAGTGCAAGAAAACCTTTGAATTCACGCAAAGTTCTGCACAAATACTTGTGCAATTCATAAACGTCAGAGAAGTCTATAAGTACCCGAAAAAAATAATTATAATAAAACAACGAAATTACAATGATTTTTACTGTTGAATTTCGAGTACATTAAAATTTATTGTTAAATTATTGTACGGGAGGAAAAATAGATTTTGATTTTTAACGATACAATGCTCAAACAACGAAAATTAGTGTGATGAGATCAAATTTGTTCGAGAAAAATCACTTTTTTATATTGTTAAGATGCTTAACAACCCCCCTTTTTTACTGTAAATTTCTCAAATACCATGATTTTCATTGTTGTGAACCATGAATTTCGTTGTGATTTTATGGTAATGGACAAAAATGTCCAATGTTTTGACAGTAAATAACATAGTTACAATGACAATGAAAAGCATTGTATTTTTATTTGATTTTTTTACGGGTATAGATAGAGCTGGAAGTGGGCGTAACAGTTAAGTGGAATTCTCGATGAACATTTCAAAAGGTCCTATCTGCTTTGATCGATTCTCTTCATCGACTTTCTCTTTAGATAACCACTGCTATGCAAATAATATCTGCACTACTTTTACAACATAGTTTGATAAAATATGTTTTCATCTAGCATCCTCAACCTTAAATACAACAGGGAAAGTTTTTGCAACTGAGTTATTATCGAAAGAGAATGTCGATGAAGAGAATCGATCAATGCAGATAAGACCTTTTGAAATGTTTATCTAGAATTAGGGCGTAACAGTACACTGAAACAAATCGACATGTACCGTTTATTGGATCCATCTTATAACATAGCAATGTCAGCAGATTTATTCATTCTATGTGATGATTGATAGATTCCATTGGATTATCACTTAAAAACTATGACTGCGATATAGAATGATTTCTATCGTAATTTCACATACTTAGTACTTGATAATACTTTGCTTCGAACGTGGTTAGCGAAGGTAAGAAGTATATGAATATTGTCTGATATATTTTATGGTGAAAAACTGTTGATATGTCATGGGTGGGAACAAACATCTAGAAACTAATGGAAAATCATATAAGTTTGCACTATGAGAAAATTCAGTAAAATATACCTGTTTTCATGATGAATATTGCTCACTAAAATATATATCTTATAAGATAATCATGTATATTTTATTGGAGTTGCTTTTACTGATTTTTGACGTTTGTTGATATGTCGCGTGTAAGTAGACATGTAGAAACTATTGGACTGTCATTTAACTTTGCAGTATAGGAAAACATGTATATCTCATTGCAATAGCTTGCTTTGATTTTTGACGTTTAAAGATTGTAAACAGATCTATCCCAATCATAAATAGTCATATAGAAATGCCTTTTAAGAAATCCAACAGCAAGCATTTGTTTTTGCATGTTTTTTCTGGGATGAATATCGCTCCCAATAAAATACATCTTACATGATTGTTCTTTATAAATTATTGAAACAATTTTCAACGATGTTAACGTACACTCATTAAAATGATTAGTTGAACTAAATACTACTAACAACAATGATACTGTATTGAATAATCTTTGTTTGTTATTGTTTCATATGATAATTGGTTCCAGAAAAGAATGTATTGAAATTGAAAAAAAAAATGATTCTACTGTAATATTTACTTTGCTATGATTCTAATTGTAAGCCTTCTACACGGCTAATTCAGATTCCAGCCCTAAGTAGTATTCGAACTTCATGAGCCAGTTCTATCAAATCATATAATTTAGTCGTTGATTTATTGCACACAGGTGCATTATGAAAGATTTGAACAAACCACACCACCGAAACGAACATAAATTTGTCAGTGCTATTTGTCTTCACTCTAGCAAAACGAGCATAAAGTTGCACTACATTCCATGTCGGGAGAGCTGTTCTTACTTCATGCTATTTGAACGAGCTCAATCTTGAAGTCAGCCGTGGCCCAGTGGAATCGAGCACAGACACCGAAAGCATCACACCTCAACAGATCTTGATCGAATCCCAAATCAGCTACAATAAAAAAGGCACAACTGTGAAAGCTCCCACTGCCTGATGTTTATTTTTCGAATTTATTTTTAGAAATCGATTAAATATATGTGTCAAAAGAAGAAGTAAATTTCATGTTATTTTCACATAAACTTTACTTCGATTGATTTATGACACATATATTATATTGTAGTGAAAAGTATAGCTTATGCTTATGGGTTTCAAATCCATTTCAGTTAATTATTATAATTTGATCGATTTTCATTTATCATATGACGATCATATAAAAGTTACCAAATTATCAGCATTGTAAATGTATCAGATATTCATATAGAATTTACCTGACACATTTTCAATCATATCATTTTCAATGGATTATCTTATAGCGCAAATTTATTAGACTTCCACATAACAGGAATATGTCAAATTCGTTCAGTGTAACAGTGCAGTTCAATGTTTTATACCCCGTTCAAACTATGGCATATATCATTTAATATAGACTTGCAATGAGCACTCATATATAGGATTTCCAGTGAAAACTAAATGTATGAGTGCTCCTTGCAAGACAGCCTATATTAGATAATATCAGGCATAACATTTGATAACGGCACAAAAGCATTTGTAAACAAACTTTCTGAGGCCCTTTACACGCGAACCAAAGTACGCCCATGCAAATCAATACCACTTTCGAAAAGGTGATACTTGCCCCTATCCGATGATGTTGTTGGTTTGCGTTAGCGTACCTCGGTTCGCGTTTAAAGGTCCTGTTTACAAAAGCTTTTGTGCCGTTATCAAATGTTACGCCTGATATAAGCCATAGTGTGAACGGGGTATTAGGTGTTTTAATAAATACGTGAGATGTGAGATGTTAGCATCTTTCAAAATAGCGCAAAATTTATTTGCATAGCAGTGGTTATCTAAAGAGAAAGTCGATGAAGAGAATCGATCAAAGCAGATAGGACCTTTTGAAATGTTCATCGAGATATATCTTATAAATCAAGCTGAACATTGCATTAGGTCCTAAGTAACATTGACAGATTCTCTTCATCGCCTTTCTCTTTGTATACCCGCAAGGCCATGTAAAAACATTCCCAGGTATTTTAAGCACACATCTCGACAAAAGAAGCTTTTATCCTAAGAGGAAGAGGAGATAATTGGCTTCTTACTCTTTTATTTCTATCTATATCTCTATCTCTATCTTACGCACTTCATATCGGCCAACCACGAGCTGGTTCGCGTTTGACAGAAAAGTTGTTCGTTTTCACCCCCGTATTGTCTCCTCTTCTCTTAGCTTTTATCTACCATATAAAACGACAAACACAACAAGAAACAGTTATGTGCCTCGTTATGTGCTCAAGTTATTACGAAAGAGAAAGTCGAAGAAGAGAATCGATCAATGTTACTTAGGACCTAATTCAATGTTCAGCTTGAAATATCAGTTTGTTGCTACTGATGACAGCTGCAGCCACGGCGTCAATTTTAAGTAATAATAATTATTTTTTTCTTTGTGACTCGACAGACGGCTAAGACCAGTTTCTTCCATCTCTCAAATTATTAATTTGTTAATCTAGATGCAAAATACAGGAACATAGTGACACATGTATAAACCTAAGATCTCATTTTTATAATATAAATTTTACAAACGAAGTGATAATCCAATCGTGGGATAAGTGCTTTTACTGGATTATTCAACCGAAATAAAAGTCTTACAAGTTGCATGTTGGAGTAAATGTGAAACATACCTGTGTCTGGTTCACAGCTGTTGGAGATGATGAGGCTCTCAGGTGCCCAGACTTCTTCTGCTGTGAGAAGCATCAGAAGGCTTCCGGTGAATGCTGAAAGTGCCAGATCGTTTGAAATTTGACATCCATCACTTTCCAGCACGACCTTGGAAAATGTTTGTTGATACGTATTCGATGCTGTAAATAAAATAAGTATTTTAGGACTTCACATTTGTAACAGGTACCTATGTGAGCTTTTTTCTTACCTTGCTCAATTAGACTGACAACCGTTGCTATTGCTGGAATGATGTGCCTTGATTGTCGTGATGAGTCTCAGACTTTAAAAGCTACGATTTTCTCCATGCTTTCTTCAATATTCTTGGTTTAATCTAGGAATGGTAGAGCGTGCTTTGCAAATAGGTAGATTTGATTGTTTTCCACAAATTTGTAGATCGGCGCTCGATCTATGAAGTTGTTGATCGATCTGCAGACTTGTTTTTTTACTCGACTTGCTTCACATAGCACTTCCCGTAAACCGTGTTCACTTATATTACGGACAAATAGTTCTTCACCAAACACTGTGATGCTTCCATGCAATTTATTGTATACGAGTAGTTCAATTTCAATCACTACAAAATCTTCCCCGTATTGGTCATGGTTCACGAACAGAAAATCACCTCTGCAATAGGTATATCCCAAATAAGTACCCTTTTCGGCGTATACATTTTGATCCGCATCCAGCCCAAAATCATGTAATAAGCTTCGTGTTTTCAACGGTAGTTCACTGATGTGCTCAACAAATTTACCCAACATAAAGTCATTCCTGAACCGAGAATTTTGTATGTTTAATAAACCCTGAAAGTATTGATGTTGCTCGGAACAAAACTTAACTACGTTTTTAAAATTTAGTGTAGTTCTCAAGCACCGTTTAAAGAAACAATGCTTCCTTTCACAGAAGAGGGTGCAATATATCATTGGAGGGCCCATCCATAGAATGAATCTTGGGTAGTGTAACGTGAAATGGTGTTTGGGGCGAAGTGGTACATCAAATTGAACCTCTCTTAGCTCGATATACTCAAATAAGTCCGAAGATAGTAATCGTACTTGAGTTTCCGAGATGACTGGCGAGGTTATAATGTCTGTTATTTTCTTAATCAACAATAGCATGACCAGATAAGGATTGTCGTCGACAAGAGGCTTGTGCATGAAAATAAATGGAATTATTTGAATAAGGTGCCATATATCACATGCCTTTCCTTTGATGTTTTTTGACTTACGGGTAAAGTTAAAATCT